CTACTACTACTACAACTACAACTACTACTAGTATCCTTTCTCAGTCCTGGCTATGAGATGTCTGTCTGAGTACCTAGCACAGCTTCTTGCAATCATGAAGCTAGATTTTGCTTCGATATTCAACAGATCAAGGAATGCCTGTGCCGGAAAGGAAACGTCTGTCACTGTGAACGTGCCTGTGCTGGAAACACTGGGCGCAACCCATCTCTGCACCATTGCAGCTGTCTACGTACCGGCTGGTGACACAGTCTGCCATGGGTTCAAGAGCAAAGGAAGAGTTTAAATGTGTCGCTCAGGGGATTTCTTTACCTAAAGTGCCTGCGCCTAAATTTGGTGCCCCTAACACACACTTCAACGCAAAAAACAACAGTGCCTGCGCCTAAATTTGGTGCCCCTAACACACACTTCAACGCAAAAACAACTTCAGTTGGAGACAGCTGCATAACAACCGTGAAAAACCCATGTTGCGCCAAGATCTAAGTGATGGTAACTTGGTGGTAGCTTTCTGCAGCCGTGAAATTGATACTATGCCCACAATGACGACTGCGACCTAGTAACAACATGAGGTCGACGACCCTACTGCAGTGAGGCATCCCTGGAAACATATTCTAATTGCCCGTCCAAAAGACACCGTGCCTCCCAGAGAACAAGTAAGACTACAGGAAGAGAAGTGCAGAAGTTCCGCAGGTTAAGACTGTCACCACATGTGAGCACGATGCTCCAGCAAGTGACAGGCACAGACCCACACATATTCTAACTGCTTTTTGGTACAGATTCTTTCCAGGCTTTGTAGCTATATTCTGACTGCGAGCTCCACATAGCACTCCCACATGTTGAAGTCACAGCCGATCATATGTGACTACCATAATCCCATGGGGGATTGCGTATTACGAAGAAGTCGCTGCCACACGCATTGATGTGGGGGGAAGATGCTTCAGAGGTGTGCAGAAACAATCAAATGAGCTGCAACAGCGCTTCAGACTTGTGGCACGGCAACGCAGCACCGCATTGCCGTGGAGACTCCTCCCTCGACGCCTACTTGGAAGGCAGTGTACTGTTGTTGTCGTTGCCGTTGCCGTTGTTGTTGTTGCTGCTGCTGCTACCTGCTGCTGGGTCTGTGGCTGTTTCTGGTCAGTTCTTTTCCCGGTTCACGGTCTTCGGGCCTCGCACGGGGCCTCGTTCATGTCTCCTTCTTCCCACGTCGCTCGTGTCTCCTTCTTCCCACCATCCCACGAAAGAAGTGTGCAGCTGGTTTTGAACTGCAAGGCCTCTCTTCATCTGAGCCCGTCAGATCGCCGAGACAAGGCTTTTCGTGTGAGATTGGCGTGCCCGTCGACGGCCGGCTACAAGCGGCTTGCGTGCCACCCCACGGGGCGGCTGCAAGGCGCTTGCTGGCCAGCTGCAGACCGGCGCCCACTGCTAGCAAGATGACGCGCGCGAACGACGTCGCCTGGAAGACTCACTGCAATGCATACACGTGCTGATGTCCTGACTAGGGTGGTCTTATCCATACATGCCACGCTACACGTGTTACGCTTGATATATACCTCATACCTACATAAGCCATCAAGGCCTTTTATGTTTGAATGCCTTTCAAGCCTTCTGCAAACGAGCGCTTCTGTCGTGACTCCTGTCGTCCGAACTGCTCTATATGCCGCCGGCGGTTTCCGTGTTCAAGCCTCGGTGATTGCATTGGGTGCGGCCCCAGCTCCGGAGGCTCCAGGGCAACCAGGAGTCACTGGAAGAGGTCATTTGGATAGCCCGGGAGGCTCCAAACAGCCACTCAGCAAGTTAAGACTTCACGGACCTTCCAGGCTGGACAGCCGGCCATGGCGCCCACCCCAGGATTTGCCGCGAACCGGGCCGACCGGCATCGTCCCGCAGGGAGGC